GACAAAGAACCCATAAAACTGAATCCGTTCGAATCCTCTAAAAGTATCCCTGCTATCTGCGGAGAGGTTACAAATGTCACCAAGCCTCGATTCGGTTCTCTCCTTGTGGAATGTGCATGGAGACAACAATCCATCAATCTTCTGAAATTAAAAGAGTTTGTAAATATCAAGGTTTCTGTCTCTGAACACAGGGCACTGAACTAATGCAAGGGAATTGTCCGCGACAGGGCTCGCTGCCAGTCTGGCATGACCGAGGATGAAATCACCAAAGAACTTGCCCAACAATCTGTCACAGCTCTCAAACGATTTTCTGTAAAAAAGGATGGTATGGTTGTAGAGATCAACACCTATCTCTTCACTTTCGCCCGTTCTAAAATTCCAAAATCAATCAAAGCCGGCTACTGTAGCATTGGAGTGGAGGTGTACATCCCCAATCCACTCAGGTGCTATACATGCCAAGCGTTTGCACATGGATCCAAGTCCTGCCATGCCTCTACTGTTTGGTACCTCTGCGGTGACAAGCACGAGGCCATTGACTGCAGGAAGGATGTGAAGTGTGCAAACTGCGGTGGAAACCATATGGCCTTGTCTAATTTCTGCCCCGTGTGGAAACGCCAATCACCAAATGAAGGTCAAAGTTGAACACAATCTCTCCTACCATGAAGCAAAACAGAGGGTTGTTGGTGCTATTGCAACCACCTCTGTCATTTCTTATTCTGCTGCTGTCCTTCTGTCACCACTACCTCTATCGACTGCCAGACTGTTCTGACATGGGTCAAGTTTGTCCAGCCACTTCCTACAGCTTCGCTCGTTAGGCCAACTGTGACACCTTCGTCTGTGACTCCTCCCAAACGCCAAACTGTAAAAAATGTTGAGTCTCAGCCTCCTAAACTAACACCAAAACCAGAACCAATTAAACTTTCAAACAGGGAAAAGAAATTATTGAAAAAGAAGCAGCAGAAAGAACAGCTGCAAACACCAAAGGCCACCTCAAAGGCAACTTCAGTAACGGTACTAATACCTATCCGCATCCTGCCACTGGCACATACTCTGCCCTTGACCTTTCACTGACAGATTCAAATATTTTAATTGAATTCGAATGGTCGGTTCATGATGACCTTTGTGGAAGTGGCCATTTTCCAACACAACTTACAACTATTAACCCGTCTGACGAAGCACCTTCAACAAAGTGAAACTTTACAAAGGCCAACCGGTCATTATTCCAAGCACTCTGTACTGAAAAACTAAAACCTGAAGTCCTCTGCAAACCCTCATATGTGTAAACAAGCTAGAAAAAATAGGAAGAAAGCTGAGAAATATTACCGACGACATGCCACTGCCCACAACTTGAATAATGTTAAAATCACGGGCGCCAAAGCGAGACCATCTTCCCGAGGCAAGAGAGCTAACTGACTATAAAAGTCCAGTTTCAACCCTTGCCGAACTAGGCTGTAATTCCTGGGCTCGATCGTAGAGCCACCAGTGGTTGTTACGAGTCATGTCACTTCTGAGCCTCTACTATCACTTGCATTTGTATCAAACAAAATGGCGGCGTCCTGTCAAGACGATCTGATAGATAATTTATAGATTTATAGTGTGATAAAACGGGTCTTACATTGCGAACTGCATCACATCACGTGAGCACCTTGATAACAAACATTTAAAGATTAGGAAAATATCTGTTGACAAAGACTTGGCGGTGCACATGCTTTGCAAATCCTGCAATCAACCGAAATCTACACGACAGTTTACGAACCTGATTTCGATTTCGTTGCGCGATTTTGATTGGACTATGCATAAACTCGTTAGTCCAGCCAAAATGTAACTCCATTAAACCAGCCTAGTTCGGAAAGGGTAGAAACTGGACTATTAAAGTCAGTTAACTCCCTTGCTTTGGGAAGATGAAGCGAGTCGTACATTTCAGCAGAATAAACGTCAATCATCGAGGAACTATGTATCCCAAATCAATTCCCGCACACCCATGTCCAAGGTGTGGAACATGATTCAAAAGATTAAGGGAAAAGGATCCAAATATGGAATATACTTTTACTACTAAATCCGAAATTGCCAACGAACTTGGTGACACTTTGGCAAACCATTCCTCATCATCAAACTATAATCCTCAATTTCAGAGGTTTCAAAAACAGCAGGAAAAGAAAAAAAGTAAATTTTATCTCTGATAATGGTGCGGACAATAACGAAACATTTTCACTCCATAAATTATATACTGCTCTAGGGCAATCTCATGACACTGCAGTAGGGGCCGACAACACAGGGCTCCCCATAATTATTCTTAAACTATTGAATTTACGGAAAGACTTCCGCCCGTATATCCCCCTCCAAAGGTTATATATGCAGGCATTGCCGCTCAATCCTTTTTTTTATATCATATCTACTTTTAAGGGGGGATAGGGGTGTAAGTCTTACCGTCCAAACTCGAAAAAATGGACACCATCAAGCCCTAAGACTCTGTCTTGGAGCTTTTAGGACCTCTCCCGTGGACAGTTTGTATGTGGAGGCTTGTGAACCTTCACTCGAACAGCGCCGCATTAAACTTTCACTGCAATACATTACTAAATTGCATTAAAATAAATCAAATCCAGCATACAATTGCGTTTTCCACCCTCAGTTTGAAAACCTGTTTCAAAATTTGTCCACAAATTGAATTCAACCCCACATTGCTGCAGCTAAAAGGATCTAAATATTATATCACCTTACCGTCTTCTGTCTCCTCCTCCCCTGGCAGAAGGTGTAACCAGAGGTAGACCTCACTCTAACCAAACTAAACAAAATCCGAAATAAATCCTTTGATTTATCAACAAGCGTACAACCAATTGCGAACTCAATATGATTCTCAAAGGGGAATTTTAACAGACTGGTCCAAGGATGGTGGCACCATCATTGGATCCAGAACTGTCTCCTCAAGAATACCAGATTCTAGTTCAATTTTTACCGCTGAGGCCAAAGATATCTTAACAGCTTTGACCTATATCAAACATCAAAACCAATCTAAAAAAATCCTCGTATTCTCCGATTCATTGTCATGCCTTCAGGCACTTAAAAGTGTCTCCCCAAATCATCCTATAATCCTAGACAGTTTAGAACTTTTCAATGATCTTTCTACTGGCCAATGCGACATTGTCTTTTGCTGGTTACCAAGTCATGTAGGCAAAACAGGTAACTCAAAAGCCGATGCTGCAGCTAAAGCAGCTCTCGACAAACCGTTATCTCCGTTACTTATCCCGTACAGCGATTTCAAAACAACGATTAAAAGTTATACTCGGGATCTCATGCAAAAGAGATGGGACACCCAGGTAGGAAGCAATGAATTTCACGAATTAAAACAAACAATCGGTCAAACCTACTTGGGTTGTCAGTCAAGACATGACGAAGTCGTTTTACGACGATGTTGTATTGGCCACAGTCGGATTACACACGAATATCTGCTTAAGACAGATGAGGACGAACCTCCTAAGTGTATCCCTTGTGATGAAAGGTTCACCGTCAAGCATACACTGCTTGACTGTGTGGACTTTGCAATCGCAAGGGATTCACATTATCAAAGCCTAAATCTGTAAGATCTCTTTTCCCGTGTCAGCTGGCATCTTATTATCAGCTATTTGAAAGAAATTGGTCTTTATAATAATTTAAAATATGTATGTGAATAAATAATTGCTTGTTTTTAAAATTTGGTGTGATGCTATTATCAACTGACATTACTGGAGGCTCTGTCCAGGGGGTTAAAGTATCGTAAATTTATTGTCACCCTGTGTGACACGTAATCCTATCACAATCGATGTAATTATCATCAACCAGTGTTAAGCTGACTCATTGCTGAGTATTTTTTAATATTGGTTAGTACAACCACCAGTAGCTAAAGTGATGCCGTAAATCCTGCTGGTGTATCATGCAGGAAGCAGAGGTACTGTCAGTACCCAGCGAGGTGGCCTAGCTTTGGTTACTGGTTGCCTGTAGCCCGTGTTTGAAAACTGTATACATCATATTGTAATGCTCAAATATGTTTCATAAATTGTTTCTAAATATAGAATGCTCAAATATGTTTCACAACTTGTTTTTAAATAAAACTAAAATTTAAAAATAAATAACTAAATTGTAAATATATTAACTTGGCCTAATTAATAATGCCGATGCGACGTTAAATTTTAACTCACTCACACTACTCTGTTGTGCCCCCGCTGGGTCTCGCGCTATCAATCACAGGTTTGTCCGGTCCAGACTTGATCGCGGCCAATCTGACGGTGACACTGATGAATGCGGCGTAACACAACACCCACCCATTCTTTTACTCTGGGGGCACGGTTGGCCCAGTCGTCTAAGGCGCCGCGATTCGCTGTGCAGAGTTTCGTCCCTTGGGCACGCCAGAAACCTATGATTTTGGGTTCGAATCCAGGTTCGCCCCAATTATGTTTCTAGGTTTGTCAGCACCATACCCGTGCTCGTGGGTTTCACCAAAGTGGTAAACGTCTGAGACCTGCATCACTTCGGGCTTTCCTCCCACATTAAGCTGACATGCCGCGATATAACTGGAATACTGTTAAAAGCGGCGTTAAACCCAACTCACTCACTCATTCTTTTTACTCTGACGCTGTGTATGTGCGACTGTGCGTACATAAATTTATGCTCCATTTTTTTCAAATAATTAACTTATTTATTCATCTTGATTGTTTTCGTTTGGTACACTTTGTTAGTGTTTCATATTGCTAGTGTTTCATATTGTTAGTGTTTCATATTGCTAAAAACACTGTGTAAGATTACACTGCAATAAAATTATAAAATTGAAAGAAGGCCCTCGCTGCTGTAAGATTGGTGAATGGTAATGCAATTCAGTGTACAAAAACAATCTGATGGCTTGGGAGATCTTTTAGTTGTTGGTATAAATTGAGTTAAGAACAAGTAACAGCATACATTTATGGTTTTTAATTGAAACTCTTATCTTTGTAAACTCCGTATATCGTGTTACAGCAACATCGCTGTGCGGAGCAACTACTCGCAGCGCCATCTGTTTCCTGCGGATAAACGTGCTTTGGTCATCAAAAACAGGACAAAAGTAGATTCTGACAATTTTATATTTTGGGCATTTAAAAAGAAGTTGCACAGAAGATTAAACATGTGAATATATACGTATTACAGGTAATAAACTCTTGTTAACTGTGATACAACTATGTGTACCTGACATGTATTGCGACACACTTTCTTCACTTGAGATTATTTCCCGCCATATTCTCGTATGAATAATGCTGGTTCACCAGGAATACCATTGCCGACATTATATTTTCACGACCACCCCCTTATAATATGTGCCGTGGTGTAAATGAAGTGAATACAGTCTAAATCAGGGTTCGACCAAAGTATTGTTCAGGTAACCAACAGAATATGTCTCACAATTTGTTCAACTGCAAAATTGTGTTCACTTGTTTTCACATTTCATGTCAGCCCTATAGGCCTAGATCTCTCTATATATTATGTCGTTATATTCTGTTGCACTTTTCACCCTTATAATAAACATTTATTGATATGTACATATTTTGTGTGCCGTTAGTCTAAAGTATTGAAAAGTTAATATTATCATGTAGGTGTTTTGTATTTAAGAATTTAACGTCAGTTTGGATGGGTTCATTAAAATGTGAACGATTTAAAAGCGCTGGTTAAACTGTGTGAACCTTCGAGCTTGCGAGTCAGCATGAGAGAAACAGTGTAAACTTCAAAGTATGAAATTATTTGTTCATGAAGAGCTGTTTTGTGAATGTTGTTCAAATGAACGTGATAAGATCATAAGATGTCAACAATCACCAACAAAACTAAAGCATTGCAGCTTCAATCAAAAGTGTTTTCTCCCAATATTTCAACCAGACAAGTATCTGTATTTGGAAGTTTTATAGTTATTGCTGTTTCGTTTTTTCTTTGTAGGGAGTTGGGGCTGGAGCTGATACTGTTCATCCAGAAAAGCAATTTGTTTCAGCCGAGGGAACAGAGTGTCTAATATTTCTGCCATCAACATGAGTGACATTCAAGAATACCCAGATGTTGTCCAGGAATTCAGGGGACATCTTGTAAGTCAACAGGGCTCCACATGATTTTTTTAAACCATTGAATTTACAGAAAGACTTCCACCCGTATATCCCCTCCAAAAGTTATATATGCATGCATTGCTGCTCAATCCTTTTAACATTTTTAATCATATGTACTTTAAGAGGGGTTACGCAAAAAGTTAACTTTTTTTGACAGGGGGACAAATATTTGTACAGGTATCACTTGTCCCAACTTGATTTAAATAAAACTGTTTCTATGAGAAATCTAGGTGGGCAACTGCCCCCCCACCCCCTGCCTCCCCGGCTGGCTACGGCACTAATACGCCTGTAAGTCTTACCGAATTTACTCACACGTTATCACTCTTTTGACATCTTTTGGTATTCAGAACATGTTTACCCCATCGAAACCAGCCTATTTGGTATATTTTACCAGTGGGTAGACATATTTTTAAATAATCTTGCTTAAAATATTGTTTACGCTATCTTCAAAGTTTCTCCTGTTCATGTGCTGCCTCAGTGTCTCATAAGCTCACAACAGTGAGACATGCACATCTCAGTTGCATTGAGCGAGAACCGCTTATGTAATTGTTCACTTCAGTAGATTGTATGGAATGTTGATGTCTTCATTTGATCGTAATTATATATACAATCAAGTCCCGTTAATCCGACATCGATGGTTGAATATGATTGTGTCGGATTAACGAGTATGTCTGATAAACGAAATTTAGTAGTATCAACGTTCGTGATCGAAAATCGGATAACTACACAATAGATAAGGATTCAAACACGTTATAAAAAATATAAAATATATATTCATATTGTTATGTTACATTGTTGGCGGAATATGTTTTCTAATCATGCAACCTCTAAAGTTTAACACAAAACAACTGTTACGGACTGTATGACAAATTCAAAATACTTTAAAAAGCATAGTCTGGAATGGAAGTCGCAACTTTGAAACTGGTACCCAAAGCTTAAGAAAGCTGCTTTCTAAGTGGCTAACGTCGTCTTCCTGTTGGTCATTTCATTGGTCGGTCATAGTTCGCGAAAGGTTGTTCTGACGTGACTTGTAATGGGATGGCCTCGTCGATAGCGAGAACTTGTATCTGATTTTAATAAGATTGAGGTAATCTAAGCATGTGAATTATCCTGTTTTCTCTATTTAAAGTTTTAATTGTTTATTGTTAAGCAAGTTTATCTCTGCAGCTTTGTAATATGCAGCTACCAGCCGACTCGCCTCGCATCAAAACACTGGCTGTGTACTCGTGGGCAGATGGCCACTGAGTACGCTGATCACTGTGTCGGATTAACGAGACTGATTAATGAGTGATTTTCGGTAATTCGTTGCAAGTTAGGTGTGTCGGAGTCGGAGTACAAGACTGTCGGATTAACGGGTCTAAATAGCACTGATTTAATTGGTTCCCATCATTAGTGTTGGATAAAGCCGATTGTCGGATTAACGAGTGTCGGATTAACGAGACTTGACTGTATGTAAGATGTTTTGGTAAGAAAGGTGAAAAGGCAGGGGTGTTAAGCACAGTGTTGTTATGCTGTTGGGTTTTAATTTTTTTTATACATACAGTAAACTACGGTTATAACAAACTAAAGGACGACCGCAACTTTTATTTTATTGCTATATGTACATAGTTATTTAAGCATTTCGATTGTCAGACATTGGATCAAGTCACATAACCACATGTTACTCGATAAATAACAAATGTTCATTGTATATATATACTGTATGTACAATGTTAATCATCTCATAAGCAAAATAAAATACATAACCATGATAACATAAGTAATTACATGTTATAAATATATTATTGATACACTTTTATTGACATACAGATACAAGAGTCACTTGCTGTCATCTGATATCTGTGATTTTGCATTGAACATTGGTTGAAAAATGGTTCTGGTAGAGTGTTGTCACATTGTTATCAATGTTTTCAAACAGTTTCGATGATACTATAGCCCAATCACTGTCTTACTATTGTTCATTGAAGGTGTAAATTGAGGACAAGGTGGCAGTACCTAATCCGGTAAATTGCCTTCAATTTTTGAACAGCCGGGTGAGCCACGAGCATTTCAATAGACTGATTGGTGACACAAGCAGCTCCGAGATTAAGAGTTTGTTATGGACATAGACATTGTCGCTGACAGAGTACAGAGGCGACCACAATATACATCGCTAGAAATTGGCACTAGTTCTATAGTCCTTACCAAACTGCTCAATAGTTAAGGTATCCTAAGGACTAGTAGAAGTTTGCCCTTTTTAAGGGTTTTGCTACATGTTATCATTACAAGGACAAGTGGACTAAAACTGTTAGTTTCTACTGCTGGTTTCTATTTTAATTGGGTTATTACATTTTTCATTGAGTAACCATTATTTTTTCACTCATCTATTCATCACTCTATTGGATTTTTCCCCCGAATTAGAAAACATTTTAAGATTTAAAAAAGCGAAATAATGTTTTGGATGTATATAACTGTTTTAAATATATAGACTGCCTCAGTGGTCTAGTGGTAGAGCGTCCGCCCGGAGAGAGGAAGGTCCGGGGTTCGATCCCCGGCCGCGTCATACCAAAAGTCGTTAAAAGATGGTACTTGTTGTTACCCTGTCTGGCGCTCGGCATTATGGGGCTAAAACAAGGACTGGTTGGCTCGGAGTCAGTATACTGTGTCTGAGTGGGGTATTCATGTTAAACTGCGGCATGGTATCTCAGTGAGCTAGCACTATAAATCGGCATCAGTTCAGACTAGTACAAGCAGCCACACAAACACACACATGTACATGCACATCGCTATATAAGTGCAATAATCTTGGACGCGATGTTAAACCCCATTTCACCTCACCTGTAAAAATATAAGCTTGACTTTGAAAGTAAATAAGTCCATAATTGTGTTTCAGAAATTAGCTCCATTGCATGCATGCTGAAAAAGCTTAATTGGGTATTTACGTGAGCCGTATTTATACATTTGAGTTTTTCATTTAAAGCATGCATTTCTGTACGCAAGTTTATTGAAAATAATTGGGTTTTGAATATTTTGGTGGGTATTTTACGTAAATATGCTGCTTATCTGTAACTCTGATGGGATGTCCTATGTCTTTGTTTACTGGTAGCGAGAACTAAGATTCTATTTTGATGAGATTGACTTTGAGTATGAGTGTTTCAGAACCCTGGGCGTCTGAAGCTGCAGAGCAACAGCGTGATCTTCAAGAACACCAAGACTGGCAAGGTGGACCAGTACCAGAGCAATGACATCACAAAGGCGCAGTGGCTGAAGAGGGCACGTGGCTATTGCCTCAAGTTCAAGCTTAACAACGATACAATCCACAGATACGATGGCTTCAAAGAAACGGTAAGTTTTGGAGGATGTGGATACTGTTGTATAATTGAGCATGGCTAGTCTTTTGCATCATGTAAGTCATCTTCCCGAGGCAAGAGAGTTAACTGACTTTAAAAGTCCAGTTTCCACCCTTGCCGAATGAGGCTGGAATTCCTTGGCTCGATTGTAGCGCCACAGGTGGCTATAATGAGTTATGTCCCTTCTTCTGACCAATCAGATTCCACCTCACGTATCACTTGCATTTGCTTCAAACAAAATGGCGGCGCCCAATCAAGACGGTCTGACCGATAATAAATATCTGTATTGTGATCAAACAGATCTTGCATCGCGAAGTGCATCAAATCACGTGAGCACCTTTATTAAAAACATGTAAAGATTAGGAAAATATCTGTTGACAACGTGTTGGCAGTGTGCATGCTTGCAAATCCTGCAATTGACCGAAATCTGCATGACAGTTTATGAACCGGATTTCGATTTCGTTGCAAGATTTTGATTGGACTATGCATAGACTCGTTAGTCCAGCCAAAATGTAACTCCATAATACCAACCTAGTTCAGCAAGGACTTTTATAGTCAGTCAATTCCCTTGCCTCGGGAAGATGCATGTATGTATATAAATTGCAGTTAAGATTTAATAGATTTTGATCTATGTGGTGATTCGGTCAAGACGATTTTTTGATAATAAAGATTTATTGTAATAATGTGGGTTTTCCCTCGCTAAGTACATCAAATCGCTTGAGTACCTTTATGAAAAGATTTGGAAAATATGTCCACGCCCAGTTGACGGTACACATGCTGCTTTGGCAAGGTGGTTGCCTTGTTTTTTATGAACCGGATGTCGATTTTGTCTCGGAATTTTGATTGGACTATGCATAGACTCATTAGTCCAGCCAAAATGTAACTCCACATTCCAGCCCAGTTCGACAATGGTGGTTGGTGGACTTTTTAAGTCAGTTATCTCCCTTGCCTCAGGAAGATGTCAAAGCTGAAGTTAAAACTGTCACATGCAGATACCAACCATTACGATCTGGGCATACAGTAATAGTTTTTGCATAATTATGCTATTACGCTTGTCCTCCCCTAAATTGCGATATTTGTCATTTTTTTCACAATTTATTTTCATGTGTAATATATCATGAAGAGCAAATTGTTAATGCACTGATGACATGGAACATTCTACCATTGTCTACAGCAAGACTATGCTGATAATGAGCCATGCTTTCAATTCACAGTGTTACAATATCCATTAGTTAGTGATGCAAGGTCTCTGATTGGTAATGATAAAACACCCTCTTCATTATTTCGTACAGACTTGACGAAAATGTTGAAGAGAAAACCCGCCCTGTGGTATTGTAACTCTTTTTATCCCATTGATAACTCGAAAGATCCAATTAGGGTTAGCATCAGATGATCTCTGCATACTCAATTCATTTCACCACTATCAGCTGTTAGAGATGTTTGTTTACCAGCACAAATGTGACGAACTTTTTGTAGGGATTAAGAGGGTGTGAGTACTTTGGTCATAATACATTGACGCGTGAATGTACTGAAAAGAGTCCAGGGGTGTATTGTGGGGGGAATCTTAATTGTCAGTGAAACGGGTCAATTTAACTTCTGGCCCATTGGACCATGGCCAGTGAAATTTACGTAAGGCTTGCTGAAACATAAAGTAGATAGCCTGTCTGGCTAGTCAAAATTTCACCCCTTCTCTGCGTATGTTTGTCTTTTTTAATTGGACACTGCTTATGAACCATGTTATTTCGATTAGTAAATATTTCAGTGGATGAGGGCACGTGAATGGTTGGCTCAAAGGTCGTCTCGGTAGACTGACACAACTGGGGCCATTTTTTAATGTTCTGTACAACAACAACAACATCTTTATTTGCTCATAAACTCGCCACAAAATGAGGCAAATGGAAGCCAAGATATTAACTCTGAGTGCAGCAAAGGAAGTTTTAGGGGTGAGGAGTTCTAAAATTTTTGGGGACTCGGTAACTCTGTCGTGGCCTCCAATAATTTGTTTTGGGCCAGTTAGTTTGGAAGAGGGCCATTAACTTTTGGAAGGAACAGGACCAGCTGGCTTCATATGAAATTGTTAAATCTTCCCCTGTGGAATACATGTGTCACTGTAACTGAAAATAAACATCATCTTCCTCTTTGTAGGATTTCGAGAAGCTGTCAGGATTTGTGTCCAACTTCTATGAGACTTCATTGGAGAAAGTGGATGTCTCGTTGAAAGGCTGGAACTACGGTATCGCCCATTTTCAAGGTAGGACATTAATAGGGGTGTGTTACCAGAATACCACGATTTGAAATATTAATGAGTGCGTTTGGCAAATTTTGGTATATTGTGCTTTTGTTGAATTGAAAATATGATAGTCGGAACTTAGAAAAAATAGGAACTTTAGATTCCTGTGAATGAAAATGGGAAAGTATTCGCAACCTGTTTCCATGTATAAAATGTGTATGACGCATGTGTTGTGACCATAGCAACATCCAACGTAATGGCAGAAAAACACAAAGTTGTTAATAATGTGTGTGTATAGAGTCCTATCTTGGGCCCATTTCAGATTTAAAATAACTTTAAGTCATTTGTGTTATTTTTATTCAGGTGCATAGCATATTACAGATGAAAGAACACATGCCATATGTTGTACGCATCTCAATTTATGAGTCATTTTTGCAATAAATATTGCAATACAAATGTCAGGCCAATACCTGTTACAACATATTCAAAAAGTTGACATGTTGACAAACAATCAAAACCAGTTCATTTACTTAAAATATAAAGAACCAGTTAATTTCCCCGTCGTGATATTGCTGGAGTATTGCTAAAAGTGACGTAAAATCATACTCATTCACCATGTGTCTTATTAATCATTGATTGAATCTGTCATAAACATGATTGTTTATCCTAGAAATTGCAGATTGTGCATATAAGTGTAACATAATATATGTTATTTCAGGTAACGCACTGACTTTTGAAGTGGACAAGTCCATGTCTTTTGAGGTCCCCCTGACAAATGTATCTCACTCAACAACAGCAAAGAATGAGGTGACCTTGGAATTTCACTTGAATGATGACGCTGCCGTCTCGCTTACGGAGATGCGTTTCCACATACCTGCTGACAACAGGGACGCCGAGAATGATCCTGTACAGGTATTCTGCTTTGTTCTCATTCACTATCCAGCACTTCAGACCAAAGCCAGACTGTTTTGCAACAGCAGTAGAAGAAACGGGTTGATCCATCAAGACTTATGAATATAGTCTTTGGGTTAGAGTAGTTCTTAGCAACCCATTCTTGTTGTAACAGGCAACTAACGGGATCAGGTGATCAGGCTCTCTGACTTGGTTGATGCATGTCATCATATTACAGTCATGTTAATTGATGCTCATGATGTCAATCACTGGTTTGTCTGGTCCAGACTTGATTATTTACAGACCGCCGGCATATAGCTTGAATATTGCGGAGTGCTGCGTTAAACAACAAACAAACAAACAAACATACATGCCCTGACAGCAAGGTATGTCACTCGTGCGTATCTACTACCACTGGACTACATTGCCTAGACTTGATTATGTATATTGTGTTGTATTTTATCAATTGTTGGGTACTAAATGACATTTAAAAATGTCACATGTTAAGTGATGAAACTTTGATCGTTAGACTTTTATTCATCGTTTGTTCATCATTTGTTCATCCAACATTGGGGGCACAGGTGACCCATCTGTGTAAGGTGTGGCAATTCACTCTTCAGAGTTATGTCCCTTAGGCAGTCCAGAAAATTATGACCGTGGGTTTGAATCCCACTTTTGCCCAGTTTATGATCTAGGTTTGTCAACACGATGTGACTGCATCAAAGTGGTAAATGCCTGAGGCCTGCATCACTTCTGGCTCTCCTCCCACATCAAGCATTCACACTGTGATATAACTGAAATACAGTTTGAGTTTCCTTCAAGCCAAGGGGGCACAGGTGGCCCAGTCGTCTAAGGCACCGCGATTCGCTGTGCAGAGTTGCGTCCCTTGGGCACGCCAGAAACCTATGATTGTGGGTTCGAATCCCGGTTCGCCCCGATTATGTTTCTAGGTTTGTCAGCACCATACCCGTGCTCGTGGGTTTCACCGAAGTGGTTAAAGTCTGAGACCTGCATCACTTCGGGCTTTCCTCCCATATTAAGCTGACACGCCGCAATATAACTGGAATACTGTTAAAAGCGGCGTTAAACCCAACTCACTCACTCACTCCTTCAAGCCAAACCTGCTCAGTCATCCAACATGTTCCTGCAGTAAATTCTCGTTGTATCTTTGTGTCCAGGAATTCTACAAGAATGTTTTGGAGAGTGCGGACATCATCCAGGCAACTGGCGAATCCATCGTCACGCTACAGGAGATCCAGTGTCTCACACCAAGGTAAGAGCAGTGTCAAGCCCGGATGTAACTAGATTACAACAGTGACATTACCAACTTGTTCTTTTGAAACCTCCATCGTGGCCTTGGAAATAGCATGTGCGCCTGGAGAGCAGAAGGTCGGTGGTTTGATCCTCGTCAGTGTCATACCAAAAGATGTTAAGAGATGGTACTTGTTGTTACCCTGCCTGGTGCCTGGCATTAAGGGGCTAAAACAAGTACTGGAATTCTCGGAGTCAATAGACTGTGTCCGAGTGGGGTATTCATGTTAAACTGAGGCATGGTATCTCAGTGGTCTAGCACCATAAGACCAGACTAGTACAAGCCGCCACTCACACGTGCTTGTTGGTTGCTATATAATAATAATAATCTTGAACGGTAAACCCCATTTCCCGTGACTTGTTATTTTGAGGTAATAATTCAGAGATAATAACACATCTTCGATTTTTCCATTTTTAAGTATTTATTTTGGTTTTCAGAGGTCGTTATGACCTGAAGATGTACCCTACATTTCTGCAGTTGCATGGTAAAACATTTGACTACAAGATCCCCTATACCACAGTGCTGCGTCTCTTCCTGCTGCCCCACAAGGACGGCAGACAGATGTTCTTTGTGGTAAGTAGAGCAGGCTGGCTTCAGCCAGACTTGTCCAGCTTGGAGAGGACAAAACAGCTGATGCAGCACAAAACAATATTCACACACACTCAAATGCATCCCTTCTTACACTTTTCAAATGTTATTATTTACCGTAGTTACCGGCACTATGTACCATTGTTGTTTATGCCTGAGATGTGTACCATATGTTACCATAGTCTGGTCGTATTTAAAATGGAACTTGCCTTAAAAGGCGACTATGTTTGTTGTAAGAGGCGACTAACGGGATCGGGTGGTCAGGCTCGCTGACTTGATTAGTGCATGTCATCGTATATCCCAATTGCGTGGATCGATGCTCATGATGTCAATCACTGGATTGTCTGGTCCAGACTCGATGATTTACAGACCACCATTATATAGCTGGAATATTGCTGAGTGTGGCATTAAACAACAAACATACAAACAGTACCTTTACATTAATTTTTTGTCATGTTTGTCCGATTTTCCGAATGGCATATTAATATACTACTCAAGAGAAGTTATGTCCTGGCATAACTGATGATTACAGTAATATGTTAGAATCAGTTGGTCCTTCTACTTTTGAGCAGTATATTTACTATAAGTCATGACAGTGACAGGGTTTTCATACATGGATTCTGACATCTTGGTTGCCATAAGTATGGTTGGGTGTCTTTAGTCTGTCGCACTGATGATGGAAACTCGTACTTTGTGTATGGTACAGTTTTAACTTTCCATGTTCAGGATTCAGGTATACCAGTATGGAAGAATAATATATGAAGGAATAGTCCTATATGACTGTATGAAGGGACTTATCGATGCCTGCTCAAAGGCCGATATTCAGTCTACAGAAAATGTCAGTAATTGTTCCCAAATTGGAAATACAAATTTCCCAATTCATGTTACATAATATAAACTAATGTTATTGCTTTGTAATGACTTTTAATTTAATTGAATGAATTGAGAAAATACATTGTTTTGCTAAACTGCCTGTCGAGTACTGAAGGGTATTGGCCTGACTTTTGTATTGAGATTTATTGCAATAATGTTTCATATAGTATGACATCAATCTCATTAAAATCAGATGTGATTTCTCGCTGCCGCTAAACAAAGATCTGAAGACATCCCATTACGGGTCACGTCAGAACGACCTTTCGCGTAAATGGCCTGCTGTAAATTTACGTGTCTATTTCTTTGTCATAATAAGCTGCAGTTTTTTTTAAAGGAGGGCCTGAAGAGTTTAGTTAGGGCTGCATCTTCTAAAGTCTTGTTCCTGACGGCATCCTGGTATCAATTGCGTCTATAGCGTGTTGTGAATGCGTCTGTAGTGTGTTGTAAATGCGTCTGTAGTGTGTTGTGATTGCGTCTATAGCGTGTTGTAAATGCGTCTGTAGTGTGTTGTGATTGCGTTTGTAGCGTGTTGTGATTGTGTTTGTAGCGTGTTGTGATTGCGTCTGTAGCGTGTTGTGAATGCGTCTGTAGCGTGTTGTGATTGCGTCTGTAGCGTGTTGTGATTGCGTTTGTAGCGTGTTGTGATTGTGTTTGTAGCGTGTTGTGAATGCGTCTGTAGTGTGTTGTGCTTGCGTCTGTAGCTTGTTCTGAATGCGTCTGTAGCGTGTTGTGATTGCGTCTGTAGCGTGTTGTGATTGCGTCTGTAGCGTGTTGTGAATGCGTCTGTAGCGTGTTGTGATTGCATCTGTAGCGTGTTGTGATTGCGTCTGTAGCTTGGTGTGATTGCGTCTGTAGCTTGGTGTGATTGCGTCTGTAGCGTGTTGTGATTGCGTCTGTAACGTGTTGTGATTGCGTCTGTAGCGTGTTGTGATTGCGTCTGTAGCGTGTTGTGAATGCGTCTGTAGCGTGTTGTGAATGCGTCTGTAGCGTGTTGTGATTGCGTCTGTAGCGTGTTGTGATTGTGTTTGTAGCGTGTTGTGAATGCGTCTAGCGTGTTGTGATTGCGTCTGTAGCGTGTTGTGATTGCGTCTGTAGCGTGTTGTGAATGCGTCTGTAGCATGGTGTGATTGCGTCTGTAGCGTGTTGTTATTGCGTCTGTAGCGTGTTGTGATTGCGTCTGTAGCGTGTTGTGAATGCGTCTTTAGCGTGTTGTGAATGCGTCTTTAGCGTGTTGTGATTGCGTCTGTAGCGTGTTGTGATTGCGTCTGTAGCGTGTTGTGATTGTGTCTTTACAGTAAGATGTCTATTACAGGTGAGCCTCGACCCACCCATCAAGCAGGGGCAGACACGGTACCACTTCCTCATTCTCCTCTTCAACAAGGATGACGAGATGTCGGCCGAACTGAACCTGACTGAGTAGGTGTTACTTGTCCACAGTTGACAGCTCTCCCTGATCTTTTTGATTTTCTTAAAAACTTAATTAAAATTAAAAATACCAAAATATGATTTGTTTATTTCATACCTTTAAATCGCCAAATCTACAAAAGAAAATTTTGAGGATGAAATTTTCATTGACACCAGTAAAGAGAGGTTAATATTTAGTCTTATGTTCCCTTCAACAAGCCTAGAAACCTATGATTGTTGGTTCGAACCCCGGTTCGCCCTGGTTATATTTCTAGGTTTGTCAGCACCATACCCGTGCTTGTGGGTTTCACCAAAGTTGTAAACGTCCAAGACCTGCATCACTTCGGGCTTTCCTCCCACATTAAGCTGACATGCAATGATATAACAGGAATACTGTTAAAAGCGGCGTTAAACCCAACTCACTCACTGTTCAACAAGCGTGCCTTGTTTATCGACTGGTATGCAGCTAATTTAGGATATTGCATTGATCCAGTCAAGAGACTCTACTCACATTATGGGAAGTTGCTGTAGTCAAAATAGAAACTAAACTAATCTGGAATTCAGCAACCCATGCTTGCCGTAAAAGGCGACAATGCTTGTCGTAAGAGGCGACTAATGGGATCGGGTGGTCAGGCTCACTGACTTGGTTGGTGCATGTCATCCTATATCCCAATTGCGTGGATCGATGCTCATTATGTCAATCACTAGATTGTCTAGTCCAGACTTGATTATTTACAGGCTGCCATCATATAGCTGGAATATTGCTGAGTGTTGCTTACAACAACTGACTAACTCTCTCACTTTGTTCGGTTAGGGTGTCATGCTAATGATGTTATGCTTCCAGTGAGGACATTGAGAAGAAGTATGATGGCAAGTTGACCAGGGAGATGTCTGGACCGGATTACGAAGTGGTCAGCAGAATATTCAAGGCCATCACAACGAGCAAAATCACTGTGCCAGGAGGATTTGTCGGGTACGAGAGTAGGGCACATCAAAATAACCATGTAGCAGCTAGTGCATGCCAGTCTCACTATATGGCGTGTCTTAATCAGTGCATGACAAGTCTCACTATATGGTGTGTCTTAATCAGTGGATGACAGGTCTCACTATATGGTGTGTCTTAATCAGTGCATGCCAGTCTCACTATATGGCGTCTTAATCAGTGCATGCCAGTCTCACTATATGGCGTGTCTTAATCAGTGCATGCCAGTCTCACTATATGGCGTGTCTTAATCACTACAAGCCAATCTCACTATATGGTGTGTCTTAATCAGTGCATGCCAATCTCACTATATGGCGTGTCTTAATGAGTGCATGCCAATCTCACTATATGGCGTGTCTTAATCAGTGCATGCCATTCTCACTATATGGCGTGTCTTAATCAGTGCATGCCAGTCTCACTATATGGCGTGTCTTATCAGTGCATGGCAAGTCTCACTATATGGTGTGTCTTAATGAGTGCATGGCAAGTCTCACTATATGGTGTGTCTTAATGAGTGCATGACAAGTCTCACTATATGGCGTGTCTTAATGAGTGCATGACAAGTCTCACTATATGGTGTGTCTTAATCAGTGCATGACAGGTCTCCATGTATGGCGTGTCTTAATATGATAGTATTGCTAAATGAGCACATTTATTTTCCTTTCTTTTGGAACCAACAGCTTAAATGATTTTGCCATGCCAACTTATCTGCAGAGGATAAATAACATTGAAGCCTGTTTCTGTTTGCAGCCACTCCGGAACTCAGGCAATCAGTTGTTCCTACAAGGCAGCCACGGGGCTGTTGTACCCACTAGAGAGAGGCTTCATCTTTGTCCACAAACCTCCCATTCACATCAGGTTTGATGAGATTGCAGCTGTCAATTTTGCTCGAAGTTCCGGCAATACCAGGTCATTTGACTTTGATGTGGAATCCAAGTCAGGAACCGTTTACAACTTTGTCGGTCTTGAAAAGTGAGTAGTTTTATTTCATCAATAATTAACTTGTATGCAGCGTTAGAAAATGGCACTAGTCCTATAGTCTTTGCCAAACTGCCCAATGGTAAAGGTATCATAAGGACTAGTAGAAATTTGCCCTTTTTAAGGACAAGTGGCCGAAAACTGTTAGTTTCTAACCCTGGTATATCAGACAAATGTCCCCTTGCTTTTTATTGCAGAATTTATTCTTGTCTGTTGGTAGTGGGAGAGGCATGATATCTCAGTGGTCTAGAACTGTTAAACCAGCATAAGTCCAGACTAGTACAAGCAGGCACATACTTGTGCATGCATGCCGCTATATAAGTGAAATAATCTTCAACGTGGCGTTTAACCTCTATGTCACCTCGCCTGTCTGTAGTGTTATGGTCTGTTTTTCATGGTGCTATGTTGCTTTGTACAGAGACGAGTATGGGAAACTCTACGACTTTGTCGCTCAGAAGAAACTGCGAGTGAAGAACATTGGTGGAAAAGGGAAAAAACGAGTAAGTCCAGGAAATAAGCAATTTCTTACGAGGGGTGAAACAATACTGCAAGGTCACAATACATTACATATCACAATCCATAGGTCACGATACAATATGTATCGCGGTACACATATTTATGTCAAATTGCATGGAAACGTCTTGACTATAAATATTTTAGAGCAGGTTCAAAAGGAAAAGGTAGCTGTAGACACATGTTTGTAGTGGCAAGTGCAAATTACAGCACATTTTGAGATATTTTAGTGACAAAAACGCTGGAGGGGAGTGGGGGGGAGTCTTTAAACGACAAGTAATTCTTTGTTTTGGCAAGTGTATCATCTCTTAGTGATACAGAAAAAATCATATCATGTTTCACATCTTGGCATGAAAACTCATGATGCACCGCTGCACTGATTGTTTCAGCCTAACAGCATTAAACTAAGTTCATTTTCAGTGATCCATTCATATATTTTTCACTCTAATCTTGCCATTTACGCTCAATGGAATCTGTTTTGACAGACAAGTGTTGAGTTTTTTGTTTACTTGAATCTAACTGATGAATGTATTTCAAAGAATGTAAATATCAATAGAATATATTGCCATAGCTCCAGATAACTTTGAGCAATTGAGTTTTTACTCTAGGGTTTCTATTTGAAAAGTAATTGGGTTTTTTTTTGTGTGTATTTTATGCAAATACGCTTTTTATCAGTAGCTCTGTATTGCCATTTTCATGATAAAAGAAGTGGAAAATCTTTTCATCTATCTCATCACAAGGCCTGCAAAGGTCAGTTTGGTGTTATAAGGAAGATGACACGTGAGCTCCAGATAAGCTGCGTATCTGCGTGAAATACGCATCAGAAATGAAGAAATACGCAGTAAAATATAATCCAAGCGTATCAAATACGCAACGAACATTACAGATAGGCTACAAAAATAAAACTTGTGCGTATCATCAAAATATTGTGAAGTAACCCTGCGTATTCGATTAGCAAATGAGCAACTTATTTTGAAATTATAAGTTGGCATTCCGTCAACCTTGCCAAACTCCACGATGACAGTCAGATCATGATCATTTGCCATCACACTTTCTTGTGGAAGTATCGTATTTTCGAGTCTTATAAAGCTCTCCAACCCACACGACACCAGTTTGCAGGGACTAGATGAATAGTGTTTATAAATATTTAACTTAAATACCCACATGTGTAAAAACTAGTGGGTAACAGAAATTTGAATACGCAGATAGAATTACTGATACCCGATGATTTTAAAATGCATGGGTAAAATACCCACAACACCAAAAGTTTATCTGGAGCTCTGGATAATGCAAACGTGCAGTATGATAGAATTCAAGGCTTTTAGAGGGGAACTGGGAACAATATTATTTTCATTTTTCTTAAATAATAATGTATACAACTCAAAAGAAGTTTAAAGGTTCTTTCATATTACTATAGTTAATCTATCGTGGCATGACAGCAATATGGAAGAATCAGGTGTTCTTTAACTTCTTTTGAGTAGTATAATTTTTCATATGATGTAGGTATTTTCTTGAAGCATTCTAAAGAAGAGTGGGGCAAACAACTTCATGTGTACAACTCTTCGTTTGCTAGGACCAAAATAGTTCTCTTTCGTAAAAGTTACGCTCTTTTGCAGTGTTGAGTAGTATATAGACTTCCAACACAATCTGTGTGTGTGAGTGTGCGTGAGACTGACTGTTTGTGTTTCCAGACCCAGGATGATGATGATGACGTTTGGGGCAGTGGTGATGAGGGTGGTGAACACGATGCCTACCTGGAGCGTATGAAGGAGGAGGGCAAGAATCGCCAGGTGGATGACGAGGATGACGACAGTGACAGCTCAGGTGAGACAGTCAGTCTGGGACCAACCCTTAAACAGATGGATAAACATTACGGCTGTAACGTTTTTGTTTGTTGAGGCCACACTCAACAATATTCCTGCTATATTATACCCCGGATCTTCACGGGTATGGGCTGTAACGATTCACCGATACCTACGATGTGATCAACTCGAAAGGGTGCACGGGAATCACGCACGCACGAATACGATGTTAGCGTTAGGCGTCTCAACATGCATGATTCCCGTGGACCCTTTCGAGTTGAGTTGATTGGTTCAACTGTGTCATATGGCCCTGTGACGCAGGGGTAGTATTATGCAGATAGCTGTTTCAATGAATGCTCGTTCCACCCGTGCCAAACAGGTCTGGTTGTTGATGAAATATAGTGATAGCTAAATAGACAGATTTTTTATTCATGCACCGATTATCTTTAAATGTAATATCCAGTTATGTATGACTGTTTAATAATCTCATACCAACTTTGACTGGAGTAGGTCCGATAGTTTTTCAGATATTGTAGTAAATGTCGGTACCTTAAATTACCTTCCAGACTATAAATGCAACCCTTGGGCTCACCAGAAACCTATGATCCTAGGTTCAAATCCCGGTTCACCCAGATTATGTTTCTCGGTTTGTCATGTGCTTATGGTAAATGTGTGAGACCTGCATCACTGCAGGCTTTCCTCCCACATCAAGCTGATACACCATAACTGGATTACTGTACAAAGTGTCGTTAAACCCATCTCACTTACACACTCTTGTATATATTTGACTGTGTCATTGTTTTTCTCCAGACGAGTCCTACAACCCAGGTGGAAGTGGCAGCGAGGTAGCTGAAGAGTGAGTACACGCCAACTAACCAGGGCCGCACTTCACGAACAGATCTTAAGGCCAGACACTGCACCTTACAATTGACAAAATGCTTCACAAGTATTTGTTAGTTTTAATTGGTTACAACTTTGAGGTATACATATTAACAATTGAAATGGAGTCTTTTCCAGGTGATGTTGCCACCGGTTGCCATGGAAACATCCAAGATGGCCGCCGCAAGCCTGAAAAAGATTGAAATTAGTTTCAGTTTTTCTCTAAGACCAACAAAGATATTTATATAATTTCAATTGTATAACAAAGCTTGTATGGTGTTGGGTACAATGACAGAGAGAAAAATTGAAAAAAGACTGGTATATATTTTTAAAATAATTTTTCAAAATTTCACATTTTTTAGGTTGATTTTTACCCATAATTTATTTTTTAAAATCAAAATGGCAAACAAATTTTAAAAAGTCTCTCTGTTATTGTGTAGAGTAATCCTCTGCCTATATGTACACCAAATTTCATTCAAATCGGGCCAATAATGGTTGAGATCTATGTTCACTAAGATCCAAAATGACGTTAATGGAGAAAATGAGGAAATAAGTTTGTATATGGTTTTCTTCCTTCAGCACCTATTAAACACTTACAAAATCTTAGTTTACTGATGGGATGTATTCAAGATACATAAAACAATGCATGTACAAAGAAATAACAGGACTTAAAACTCCCCAGCACCATACAAGAAGCCTTCAGCTGCCTCAACATGAACTCGGTCCCTTTTTTTAGCCTCCCACTTTGCACTACGTTCTATCTTAGATGTCTCCTGGCTTTGCTTCCTTGCTTTGAGGGTTCTCACATTATCAAGTCTTTCAATAGAAGCTGCTGTTATTTCATTAGCTTCTATTGCAAGCTTGTTAATTACCTGAGTAATGTGACATGTACCCTCATTGAACGAAGCTATTGCAGACGCCACTGCCCGATGCAACCGCCTTGCACCCACAAAAATGGTCTTCGGACAACGGGACTAGATCACGGAATGCAAGCATTCATTAGCATTCTGTGTCTTGCCTTTCACCATCCTCTTAAGGAGGTTTTCATCAGACATTCTTTGATACACAGATACCATCTTTTCTGCAATTTCTGCATCGAGACAATGTCTGATGTTGACAAAACTTCCTTAGTATTTTCAACAACAACCTGTGAAAGAATGTTTTGTTTTTGTTGAAATGTCTTAGGATGGAGACCTTCCATTCCAAAACCCAGACAAAACATTTTCATTGCAGCATGACCAAGTCCTACCTCTGACAGAGCATAAAAATGTCATTGACCTGAAAGGGATTGGTACCAGATTGATTACCTTACCTTTGTGAAGTGTAATTTTTGGCAACACACATCTGACAGTTTTGACATGTCAACATAACGTTTACAGCAAATCCAAATCTATCAAAATTGTCACTCTTTTCAAACAACAAAGACCCCTGTTCGTGACATGATAGGCATTCAATCTCTTGAAAAAATAAATTCATTTGTCTCATGTCAATTAACATCCATTGAGGTTTTGGTTCATCATTGTCAAGCACGGGAGATTTGATATTTTCAGCAGCTTTAAATTTTGATAGTTTTATGTCGCTGCGTGAAGTTGCATTCAATAAAAAAGAATTCTCACCTTCATTGTCTCCAACGGGGATGTTTTCCCCAACGGCGTGGTCCCCGGATGATTCCGATGCATCTAAAACGTCCAAGCTGTCAGAATCTGACACAGGGATGATCGCGCTGTCAACACGGGTCGTAACTCTAACACCGCATTTCGAACGTGCCTGCTTCAACTGACTTGCCCTTCGCCTCCTATTCTAACCATAGGCGTGTTGTGACCCGTGTTTTGACCTCATTTAAAAAAAATACAACAATTTTCAGTTAAGAAAATATCAAAAACGATGTTTGCCTGTCAATCTTTTCGCAAAGCAGCCGCCATTTTGTATACCTACCGGAAAAGACCGGTGTTTTGTTGCTAAGCCGAATGGTGCATTGTGGGATACGTTTTACTTTATTTGGATCGAACGAATATTCCCGAATGTTGCATTACGGGATATTTCTCCTTAAATGGTAATTTACGTACGAATGTCTCGCGGGAAAAACCGACGATAGCCTCACGTGGAATATCTATTTTTAGAATGTTTTTGCACAGAAAGATGGCGGAAACGATCAGCTTTCTATCGATGTATAACATGAAGGGGTTCGTTACAGCTGCGGGGGCGTTGTCATGGGTGAAAGTTCAGGTTTTTCCACATTGATTACGATCATATTTAAAAACAATACCACACATTATGATTTTAATAACGTTTTTTATTCAGTAAATGTACACAATATCGTAAAAAACATGTTGCATCACAAAGTACATGTATTATATATGCGAAAAAAATCAAAATCTCGATTTTGACATATTGAAGCAATTATGTTAATTTAAGGTGCCGTGTCTGGCCTTAACACTGTGACTGTCTGAGCCTATGATAAAGTGTGTGTGACTGGCTGCTGTCATTGTGCTACAATCGCTTTGTGAATCAAGAGTCCATGTATTTACCAACATGTACTTAGTTGATATCTCCATGGTCTAGTGCAGAGTTGCGTCCCTTGGGCACGCCAGAAACCTATGATTGTGGGTTCGAATCCCGGTTTACCCCGATTATGTTTCTAGGTTTGTCAGTACCATACCTGTGCTTGTGGGTTTCACCGAAGTGGTAAATGTCTGAGACCTGCATCACTTCGGGCTTTCCTCCCACATTAAGCTGACATGCCGCGATATAACTGGAATACTGTTAAAAGTGGCGTTAAACCCAACTCACTCACTCACTCACTCCATGGTCTAGTGGTAGAGCGTAGAGTGGAGAGCAGAACCCGGCTGCGTCATACCAAAAGATGTTTAAGGATGGTACTTGTTGTTACCCTGCCTAGCTCTCAGCATTAAGAGGCTAAAACAAGGACTGGTCGGCTCGGAGTATGCTGTGTCTGAGTTGGGTATTCATGTTAAACTGCGGCATGGTATCTCAGTGGCCTAGCACTATAAAAGCGGGTTAAGTCCAGACAAGTACAAGCAACCACATAAATACTCATGTACATGCACGTTACTATATAAGGGCAATAATCTTGGACGCTATGTTAAACTCCATTACACCTGACCTTGGTTGATATTATCTACTCGGTCGGATTGTGGCTGGGATATTGCTGAGTGCTGGTAAAACAGCTAACAAAACAAACATACACAGATTTTGTTAATACAAACTACTCAAGAAGTGAAACTTTTTTGAAGTTCTAGACTGCATATCACACGAAATGTGGCACATGCCGTTGTTGTTGGAAGTAGTCGAGTGCAAGCAGTCTGATCGAAAGCTTTTTCTCTCCTGAAGAAACCCAGTCACCCCATGGCCAAATCTGTTATTTTTAAATGAGCCGATGATTCTGTTTATGTAGTTCTAATGTTACAATTAATTTATCAGCTTGATTGACGCTATGGAATTACAACATGCACATTTTGAAATTCAGAAAAGAAGTTTAAATTTGCAGAGTTGCCCCCCTTTAAGGATCCAGGCAAAGAGAAAGTAACTCTCTCTAGGTCATTGACACATTATTAAGTGAGGAATGCACAATTCTGTAAGGAAAATCATCTGCCAGTCAACAAGGCCATATTTGAATAAACATGATTGTGGAGGGGTGTGGATTTTTTAGATGGTGATGGTCACAACATATGACTGGCTATTGGTTCACATGGGCTGAGTACGACTAAATAGCCACCCACTGTGTGTGTGTAGAATGTTTCAAGATGTGCAGCTGGAGTTCTGTGATGTTTGAGAAGACTTGTGAATTTGACTCATTTGTGTATGCAGGTACGACAGTAACCCTCCCACGTCGTCGACGTCCGACTCCGACTATTCAGCGGGGTCGGCCGGCAGTGGAGGAGACTCAGCTGCTGAAGCAAGGAGGGAGAAGAAGAAGGAGAAAAAGGAGAAGAAGGAGAAGAAGAAGTCCAAGTCTGCTAAGACAGTTGTAAGTTGACGCCTTTGTCAGGATCAATGAAGTTGATTACTTGCAAGTTGTGGTTCAAGTCCAGGTTAGCTTTGTTTGTGTGATCGTGAGTTTAAACAAATGGCTCAACGTCTAAGACCTGCATCTTTTTGTGCTTTCTTCCCGCATCACACTGTGATATAACTGTTCAATGACGTTTCTCTCAGATCTGGGTCAGCCTGTATATTGTGTTGAAGCATGGTGGGACGTTTCCCTCGTATCTGGGTCAGACTGTATGTTATGTTGAAGCATGGTGGTACGTTTCCCTCGTATCTGGGTCAGACTGTATGTTATGTTGAAGCATGGTGGAACGTTTCCCCTAGATCTGGGTCAGACTGAATGTTATGTTGAAGCATGGTATGACGTTTCCCTCAGATCTGGGTCAGACTGTATGTTATGTTGAAGCATGGTGGTACGTTTCCCTCGTATCTGGGTCAGACTGTATGTTATGTTGAAGCATGGTGTGACGTTTCCCTCAGATCTGGGTCTTCCTGTATGTTGTGTTGAAGCATGGTGGGACGTTTCCCTCTGATCTGGGTCAGCCTGTATGTTGTGTTTGAAGCATGGTGGGACGTTTCCCTCAGATCTGGGTCAGCCTGTATGTTGTGTTTGAAGCATGGTGGGAAGTTACCCTCAGATCTGGGTCAGCCTGTATGTTATGTTGAAGCATGGTGGAACGTTTCCCTCAGATCTGGGTCAGCCTGTATGTTGTGTTGAAGCATGGTTGGAAGTTACCCTTAGATCTGGGTCAGCCTGTATGTTATGTTCAAGCATGAAGGGATGTTTCAGATCTGGGTCAGCCTGTATGTTGTGTTTGAAGTATGGTGGGACGTTTCCCTCAGATCTGGGTCAGATCGTATGCTATGTTGAAGCATGGTGGGATGTTTCCCTCAGATCTGGATCTTCCTGTATGTTGTGTTTGAAGCATGGTGGGACATTTCCTTCATCTGGGTCAGCCTGTATTTTATCTTGAAGCATGGTGGGATGTTTCCCTCATCTGGGTCAGTCTGTATGTTGTGTTGAAGCATGGTTGGACGTTTCCCTCTGATCTGGGTCTTCCTGTATGTTGTGTTTGAAGCATGGTGGAACGTTTCCCCTAGATCTGGGTCAGCCTGTATGTTATGTTGAAGCATGGTTGGATGTTACCCTCAGATCTGGGTCAGCCTGTATATTGTGTTCAAGCATGGTGGGAAGTTACCCTCAGATCTGGGTCAGCCTGTATGTTGTGTTGAAGCATGGTGGGAAGTTACCCTCAGATCTGGGTCAGCCTGTATGTTATGTTGAAGCATGAAGGGATGTCTCAGATCTGGGTCAGCCTGTATGTTGTGTTTGAAGCATGGTGGGACGTTTCCCTCAGATCTGGGTCTTCCAGTATGTTGTGTTGAAGCATGGTGGAACGTTTCCCCTAGATCTGGGTCAGCCTGTATGTTGTGTTGAAGCATGGTAGGATGTTTCTCTCAGATCTGGGTCAGCCTGTATGTTGTGTTGAAGCATGGTAGGATGTTTCTCTCAGATCTGGGTCCGCCTGTATGTTGTGTTGAAGCATGGTAGGATGTTTCTCTCAGATCTGGGTCAGCCATGAATGTTGTGTTGAAGCATGGTGGGATGTTTCCCTCATCTGGGTCAGTCTGTATGTTGTGTTGAAGCATGGTTGGACGTTTCCCTCAGATCTGGGTCAGCCTGTATGTTGTGTTGAAGCATAGTAGGATGTTTCTCTCAGATCTGGGTCAGCCTGTATGTTTCATTGAAGCATGGTGGGATGTTTCCCTCATCTGGGTCAGTCTGTATGTTGTGTTGAAGCATGGTAGGATGTTTCTCTCAGATCTGGGTCAGCCTGTATGTTATGTTGAAGCATGAAGGGATGTCTCAGATCTGGGTCAGCCTGTATGTTATGTTGAAGCATGGTGGGACGTTTCCCTCAGATCTGGGTCCGCCTGTATGTTGTGTTGAAGCATGGAGGGATGTCTCAGATCTGGGTCAGCCTGTATGTTGTGTTGAAGCATGGTTGGACGTTTCCCTCAGATCTGGGTCTTCCAGTATGTTGTGTTGAAGCATAGTAGGATGTTTCTCTCAGATCTGGGTCAGTCTGTATGTTGTGTTGAAGCATGGTAGGATGTTTCTCTCAGATCTGGGTCAGCCTGTATGTTATGTTGAAGCATGAAGGGATGTCTCAGATCTGGGTCAGCCTGTATGTTATGTTGAAGCATGGTGGGACGTTTCCCTCAGATCTGGGTCAGCCTGTATGTTGTGTTGAAGCATGGTTGGACGTTTCCCTCAGATCTGGGTCTTCCAGTATGTTGTGTTGAAGCATGGTAGGATGTTTCTCTCAGATCTGGGTCAGCCTGTATGTTATGTTGAAGCATGGTGGGACGTTTCCCTCAGATCTGGGTCAGCCTGTATGTTGTGTTGAAGCATGGTAGGATGTTTCCTTCAGATCTGGGTCCGCCTGTATGTTGTGTTGAAGCATGGAGGGATGTCTCAGATCTGGGTCAGCCTGTATGTTGTGTTGAAGCATGGTAGGATGTTTCTCTCAGATCTGGGTCAGCCTGTATGTTGTGTTGAAGCATGGTAGGATGTTTCTCTCAGATCTGGGTCAGTCTGTATGTTGTGTTGAAGCATGGTAGGATGTTTCTCTCAGATCTGGGTCAGCCTGTATGTTATGTTGAAGCATGAAGGGATGTCTCAGATCTGGGTCAGCCTGTATGTTATGTTGAAGCATGGTGGGACGTTTCCCTCAGATCTGGGTCCGCCTGTATGTTGTGTTGAAGCATGGAGGGATGTCTCAGATCTGGGTCAGCCTGTATGTTGTGTTGAAGCATGGTGGGACGTTTCCCTCAGATCTGGGTCTTCCAGTATGTTGTGTTGAAGCATGGTAGGATGTTTCTCTCAGATCTGGGTCAGCCTGTATGTTGTGTTGAAGCATGGTAGGATGTTTCTCTCAGATCTGGGTCAGCCTGTATGTTGTGTTGAAGCATGGTAGGATGTTTCTCTCAGATCTGGGTCAGCCTGTATGTTGTGTTGAAGCATGGTAGGATGTTTCCCTCATCTGGGTCAGCCTGTATGTTGTGTTGAAGCATGGTAGGATGTTTCTCTCAGATCTGGGTCAGCCTGTATGTTGTGTTGAAGCATGGTAGGATGTTTCTCTCAGATCTGGGTCAGCCTGTATGTTGTGTTGAAGCATAGTAGGATGTTTCTCTCAGATCTGGGTCAGCCTGTATGTTGTGTTGAAGCATGGTGGGACGTTTCCCTCAGATCTGGGTCCGCCTGTATGTTGTGTTGCGTGTTGGGACATTACTATGAGATGTGGATGTTGAGTAGTCGTACACGATCGTCTATCTTTCTCTCTACAGAAGGAAGGAAGAAGGAAGAGGAAGAGCAAGAAAGACAGGGACCCCAACCGACCTAAACGGGCTCAGTCGGCATACTTCCTGTGGCTCAACGAAAGCAGAGAGAGCATCAAGACAGAATTCCCAGGGCTGTCGATCACTGAATTGTCAAAGAAGGCTGGTGAGATGTGGAGGGACATGACAGACAAATCTGTAAGTTAACCTGCCGGTATAGTGAATCCTCCTTGTCCCCAACACAAGTCTGTTAGAATATCTGACCCGTGAAAAGGCGACTAACGGGATCAGGTGGTTAGGCTCGCTGACTTGGTTGATGCTCATGATGTCAATCACTGGATTGTCTGGTCTAGACTTGATTATTTAAGACCGCCGTCATATAGCTGGAATATTGCCGAGTGCGGCGTTAAACAACAAACCAACCAACTGTTAGAATATCTCCATACAGAACCCCCAAAGTCCCTGACACACGTCTGTGCCCTTAAAACAGGTCTACAATGTGTTTTACTTTGAGATTAGACTAAAGGATGAGCTCTTTAGATTGAGGATTAGCTACGTGAAGGGTGAGTGAGTGAGTGTGTTTGTTGCTGCAGAAGTACGAGGCGCTGGCGGAGGAGGCGAAGAAAGAGTACCAGGCTGCCATGGAGGAGTACAAGAAACAGAAGGAGGAAGAACCCAGCGCAGACGAGGACGACGACGAGGATGGAGGTGGGGGAGGAAGTCCAAAGAAGTAAGAAATTAGTCAAATATTCAAGTTCATCAAATTTGATAAGATTGTGACTTACTGACCTCCCAATGGGGATTCTGGATAATGAACTTCAATTCATACACTGATGTTTCAAATTGCTTCTGAATTCAAAATTTGGAATAATACAACATATCATGATACATATGATGATACATATCACAATACAGCCTTGTGTATCATAAGTTATTGTGATACACTATAAACCTCCAATACCCCTCCCTAGCAGTGTTTGAAATAAAAATAATCGCCAGGCTGCCATCAGGACCAACAAACTTCAGGCCCTGACTAAGCTCTTCAGGCTCTCATTAAAAACTGCAGCTTAATGTGACAAAGGAATCGACGTGCAAATTTACTGCAGGCAATAAGGACCCATACAACTTTGAGGCCCGTGAAGATTCCGGGGTAGAAGAGGTCTTCAGCAACCCATGCTTGCCGTAAAAGGCGACTATGCTTGTCGTAAAAGGCGACTAACGGGATCGGGTGGTCAGGCTCGCTGACTTGGTTGATACATGTCATCGATCCCAATTGCGTGGATCAATGCTCATGATATTTATCACTGGATTGTCTGGCTCAGACTCGATTATTTACAGACTACCGCCATATAGCTGGAATATTGCTGAGTGCGGTGTTAAACAACAAACAAACAAACCATACAACTTTGAAACTACGGGCCCGACACGAGACCTCCCTTCCACGGTCCTACAGGCAGGTGCTATTTTCAACACTGATCCTAGTAAGCACATCTCTTTAGTATGGATTGTTACATATATCAGTCACTGGATTGTCTCGTCCAGATTTGACTATTTACAGGCCGATGTCTAATAACTTGAATATTACTGAGGACAACATTAAACAACAAACAAACAAACTTATTACCCATAACATTTCTTTTTAGAAATAGCACATAAACCATCCCCTGTAAACTTCATCTTGGAATGGGGGGCACGGGTGGCCCAGTCGTCTTAAGGCGCCGTGATTCGCTGTGCAGAGTTGCGTCCCTTGGGCACGCCAGAAACCTATGATTGTGGGTTTGAATCCCGGTTTGTCAGCACCATACCCGTGCTCGTGGGTTTCACCGAAGTGGTAAACGTCTGAGACCTGCATCACTTCGGGCTTTCCTCCCACATTAAGCTGACATGCCGTGATATAACTGGAATAATGTTAAAAGCGGCGTTAAACCCAACTCACTCACTCATCTTGGAATGCTTGCTTCTAGAGATTGGTATGTCGGTATTCATCTTGGAATGCTTCTAGCGATTTGTATGTTGGTATTCATCTTGGAATGCTTGCTTCTAGAGATTGGTATGTCTGTATTCATCTTGGAATGCTTGATTCTATAGATTGGTATGTCGGTATTCATCTTTGAATGCTTGCTTCTAGAGATTGGTATGTCGGTATTCATCTTGGAATGCTTCTAGAGATTGGTATTTCGGTATTCATCTTGGAATGCTTCTAGAGATTGGTATGTCAGTATTCATCTTGGAATTCTTCTAGAGATTGGTATGTCGGTATTCATCTTGGAATGCTTGCTTCTAGAGATTGGTATGTCTGTATTCATCTTGAAATGCTTGATTCTATAGATTGGTATGTCATTATTCATCTTGGAATGCTTGCTTCTAGAGATTGGTATGTCGGTATTCAACTTGGAATGCTTGCTTCTAGAGATTGGTATGTCTATTCATCTTGGAATGCTTGCTTCTAGAAATTGGTGTGTCGGTATTCATCTTGGAATGCTTCTAGAGATTGATATGTCGGTATTCATCTTGGAATGCTGCTTGAGATTGGTATGTCGGTATTCATCTTGGAATGCTTGCTTCTAGAGATTGGTATGTCGGTATTCATCTTGGAATGCTTCTAGAGATTGGTATGTCGGTATTCATCTTGGAATGCTGCTTGAGATTGGTATGTCGGTATTCATCTTGGAATGCTTCTAGAGATTGGTATGTCGGTATTCATCTTGGAATGCTTCTAGAGATTGGTATGTCGGTATTCATATTTGGAATGCTTGCTTCTAGAGATTGGTATATCAGTATTCATCTTGGAATGCTTGCTTCTAGAGATTGGTATGTCGGTATTCATATTTGGAATGCTTGCTTCTAGAGATTGGTATATCGGTATTCATCTTGGAATGCCTGCTTCTAGAGATTGGTATGTCGGTATTCATCTTGGAATGCCTGCTTCTAGAGATTGGTATGTCTGTAATCATCTTGGAATGCTTCTAGAGATTGGTATGTCGGTATTCATCTTGGAATGCTTGCTTCTAGAGATTGGTATGTCGGTATTCATCTTGGAATGCCTGCTTCTAGAGATTCGTATGTCTGTATTCATCTTGGAATGCTTGCTTCTAGACATTGGTATGTCGGTATTCATCTTGGAATGCTTCTATAGATTGGTATCTTGGTATTCATCTTTCAGAGAGAGAAAGAAGAAGGTGAGCCCGAGCCCGAAGAAGTTGACGGAGAGTCGTGCCGGTGCGGGCAGCGACTACAAGAGCAAGGAGTTCATCTCCAGTTCCTCCAGCTCGGATGAGAACAAGCCACTCAAGAAGAAGGCCAAGAAGGAGGGCCGCAAGGAGAAGCGAGCGGAGAGCTCCCCCAAGGGGAGGAAGAGCAAGCGAGGGGCCAAAAGGAACTCCGGGAGCGAGAGTGAGGAAGCAGAGGTAAGAGAGGCGGATCAGGTGGTAGCCAAGTAGTTTAAGTGCTTCCTCGTCAGGTTAAAGGTTTGATTGATCCCTTACATGGGTACAATGTGTGAAGCCAAGTTTTGGTGTCGCCCAATGAGATATGCTGGCGTATTAAGTCTTTGAAAGGCATTAGAAGTGATACACATACAGAACTTCATTATGAGGAAAAAAGCGTTTCGGAGTATATACTTACTCCTTCATCAAGTGAGTAAGAAAATACTCTGAAACGTTGTGTTCCTCATATTAAAGAATTTGACATCCATAAATTTTAAAGTTGACATCCATAAATTTTAAAGTTGACATCCGTAAATTCTCTTTCTGCTGGAAACCCATCTCACTCATTCACTCACTACACTACACCACACACACACCCACACACACCACACCACACCACACCACACCACACAATCTATCGAAGATTTCTTTTTAAAAACTTTGGACATATATAGAAGTAAAGAGGTTGACTACGAGGTTGATTTTTTAAGCATCTGAGGGTACCTCCCTCTGTGTGATTACTAGGTAGCAAACTGAATGGTGTACAAAACAGTTTCTTGGGCGACTAGATGTTGATTTTGGATCTGCTGCTGAAAAGTAGCAAAAGTAAAATATTTTTGGATACTGGTGACTCTAATGGGATAAAAAATAAACAAATAAAATGACATGAAATATCAAAATAATTTGTGTTGAAAAGAGGCTTTATTGCGAAATATCCAATTCATGGTGAAGTGTTTGCTGTAAACATGGTAAAGTTTGATCGCTGTAGACCCAATAAGAGTTATGGACCTTCCTTATTTCATATCTGGTGGCACAGACATTCCGGTTGGAAAATGGCGACATTCATGTGCCTCATGACAATTATATATATATTTTACCTCTGACATTGTTAGAACAAAATTAAATTCTATCTTCAAGCAACTAAGCAAAAGGTATTGCCTTATGAAACCATTGTACATGTACTTACATCAAACTGCAGTTTTACTGTCCACAAGTTAAGCAAATGTTACATTATGCATTATTTGCTGTTCAGTTGCTTTTATTGATGGGGACACGGGTGGCGGCAATTAGCTGTGCAGACTTCGTCTCCTGTGCACGCCAAAAACCTGTGATTGTGTGTTCAAATCCCGGTTCGCCCTGATTGTTTCAAGGTTTGTGAGCACCATACCCATATCTCGTTGGTTTCACCCAAGTGGTAAACGGCAGAGACGTGCATCAATTGGGTTTTTCTCCAAAATTAATCTGACTTAATGTGATATAACTAGAATAGGGTTTTTCTCCAAAATTAATCTGACTCGATGTGATATAACTAGAATACTGTTCAAAGCAGTGTTAAACCCTACTCACTCACCCGTATGGACTTGGAGTAAGTTGCCTTTTTTAAGGGTTTTGCTATATGTTATCATTATGAGGACTCGTGTCTATCGCTGTGGTGGGTGTATATTTGTTTTGTACACCATTCAGTATTGCTGTGATGGGTATATATTTGTTTCTATCGCTGTGATGCGTGTATATTTGTTTCTATCGCTGTGGGGGCGGTCGGGTAGCCTACTGGTTAAAGCGTTCACTCGTCACGCCGAAGACCCGGGTTCGATTCCCGTCATGGGTACATTGTGTGAAGCCCATTTCTGGTGTCCCCTGCTGTGATATTACTGGAATATTGCTAAAAGCAGCGTAAAACCATACTCACTCACTCACTCACTCACTCTAGTGCTGTGGTGGGTGTATATTTGTTTCTATCGGTGTGGTGGGTGTATATTTGTTTCTATCGGTGTGGTGGGTGTATATTTGTTTCTATCGGTGTGGTGGGTGTATATTTGTTTCTATCACTGTGATGGGTTTATATTTGTTTCTATCACTGTGATGGGTTTATATTTGTTTCAGCTGCCTGAAGATGAGGAGATCCTCAGTTCACCCACAGCATCTGAAGCATCGGCTTCTGAGTCCGACTCAGACTAAAAAACGCTTGCCCGACACTTCATCAGTTGGACCTGTCCGTCTGAGCAATGCTTCGTGGGAGACGTATCAGCCACGCAGCCATCTGTATATAACTACTCATCGTCATTGCATCACCAGATATTGTGACAGCCAGAATCTACTTCATGCTATTAAATGTTGTTTTCAGTGCTGCATGTGTCCATAATGAATAATGTTGACTAATGTGCCAGTTTTCTTGTAAATGGTAAATGAAGAAGGCCATTTCTTATCTAAGAACTCAATATTCATTGTAATTCACATAAAGAGCATTTGTCTGCTATGTTCCTGTATACTGAAGTTTGTAAATATGTGTGGTAAATATGCTGTCTAGTGATGTAAATAAATGTATGCCTTCTTACCTGTGTCCTGTGTCCCTGTATTGACAACACACAAGCAAGCCCCGGAACGAGATGTAGTAGTAAGTAAGGATAAGATATATGGATGAACAACTTCTTTATTACAATTAGGAGGGACGTTTCGGTGTAGGTTCAACACCACTATCAAGCAAGTGATGTACTGAGAATGGTTGACAAGCGTATATACAGGAATGAGGCAGGTATAAGGCACGGCTTCATACCTGTATATATGCTTGTCAACCATTCTCTGTTCATCACTTGCTTGACAGGGTTAGAAACTAACGGTTTTCATCCACTAGTCCTTATAATGATAACATATAGCAAAACCCCTAAAAAGGGCAAATTTCTACTAGTCCTTTGATACCTTTACCATTGGGCAGTTTGGCAAGGACTATAGGACTAGTGCCAATTTCTAACACTGCTTGATAATGGTGTTGAACCTACACTGAAACGTCCTTCCTAATTGTAATGATCATAGCTTGATAAGGAAGAATAAAAATGAATAATTACATTGTCAAGCATGATGATGGAAGATATAAACACTGAAAGGGTTTCTAGTCGATTGTGCTGCATGTTGGCTCAGCTGAGCTGGGTTTGGATTCTGACATGTGGTCTGACAGTGTTGTGTGGAGATGCTGAGATGGGTGGAGATGATATGTGGTTTGAATACTGTGTACAGGTGCTGAGACGTTTGGAGCATGGCTCACTGCAGCATTGACAATTCTACCGGAACAGGGTGCCTATAGCTGTTATCCCACATCTCGATTCACCACAGGATCAGGGTGACTATAGCTGTTATCCCACGTCTCAGTTCACTCCTGGAACAGGGTGCCTACAGCTGTTATCCCACGTCTCAGTTCACCACAGGAACAGGGTGCCTATAGCTGTTATCCCACGTCTCAGTTCACTACTGGAACAGGGTGATTATAGCTGTTATCCCACGTCTCAGTTCACTACTGGAACAGGGTGCCTATAGCTGTTATCCCACGTCTCAGTTCACTACTGGAACAGGGTGCCTATAGCTGTTATCCCACATCTCAGTTCACTACTGGAACAGGGTGACTATAGCTGTTATCCCACGTCTCAGTTCACCACAGGAACAGGGTGACTATAGCGGTTATGCCACGTCTCAGTTCACCACAGGAACAAGGTGCCTATAGCTGTTATGCCACATCTCGATTCACCACAGGATCAGGGTGACTATAGCTGTTATCCCACGTCTCAGTTCACCACAGGAACAGGGTGACTATAGCGGTTATCCCACGTCTCAGTTCACCACAGGAACAGGCAGCCTATAGCTGTTATCCCACATCTCGATTCACCACAGGATCAGGGTGACTATAGCTGTTATCCCACGTTTCAGTTCACTACTGGAACAGGGTGCCTACAGCTGTTATCCCACGTCTCAGTTCACCACAGGAACAGGCAGCCTACAGCTGTTATCCCACGTCTCAGTTCACCACAGGATCAGGCGTGCCTATAGCTGTTATCCCACGTCTCAGTTCAGTACTGGAACAGGGTGCCTACAGCTGTTATCCCACGTCTCAGTTCACCACAGGAACAGGGTGCCTATAGCTGTTATCCCATATCTCAATTCACCACAGGAACAGGGTGCCTATAGCTGTTATCCCATATCTCAATTCACCACGGGATCAGGGTGACTGTTGCTTTTATCCCAGGTTGCCGGGGGACTTTTATCAGAAAATAATATATCGTCCGCTGAAAATTCTTGAAATAAATAATTATGCTTTATATTGCTGAAACATTTGTCTGACACATACACTCACATTGTTGTAAAGTATATATATTTTTTTAAATTGGCTCCTAGTTTTAATTAATAACATATCTGGTTTTGCAACTGGTGCTGAAAAAATATCTGGTCTCAAGACAAATCCCCCCAACCCCCCGAATGTAATATGGTCGGTCCCTTAAATGAGAAATTAGTTTGTTGTTTAATGCCGCACTGTGTAAGTTAGCTTTTTGACTACGTCCTTGTTAGTTCAGAAATTCCAGTGATTGATATTATGAGCAACGACCAAAGCCGTCGAAGTACGATGTCACGCTAGCAACCAAGTCACCAAGCCGGACCACCCGATCCATTCAGTTGCCTCTTAAGAATGATGGAAAGTATCGGGTGAAGTTGGCTGTACTGTACACAGTCTGACGCCAATGTCCAGCCTAATCCTAGACCTTGTAGTTAGTGTCTTTTGTGAAAAATATACTGACGATAGTCATCAATCATAAGGCCACATCTTTTTTTTAAACTTGCTTTAAGGATCTGCCGTAAATTTTGTGTAAAATGGAAAAAAAATAATCTGAATATGCCCTTTTAAATCCCGCCGTTAAACTGGCCGCAAAAAGATATTTTCTAAGCACGGACCCACTATTATACTGTTTTATAAACAAACAAAATTTGTGTGTAGAAATGTAAGGAAGCTCATTTTAATACCAGCCTATTTGAAGCGGATGAAAAAATTAACCTTATTTCCTCTATATATAATATGAATAATCAACTAGGAGGCCACACCTATTTTAATTTGCTTTGCGGATCCACGATAAATTTTGTTTAAACGGGAAAGAAATCCTAATAATTTTGCATTAAAGTTTCCTCAACAAAATAAATTTTCATGTAGAAACATAAAGAAGCTCATTTTATACAAGCCTGCTTGAAGTGGATGACAAAACTAAAAACCTAAAACTGAGAGTGAGAGTGAAACCTTTAAAGTCAATATTTCAGTCATACTGTGACGAGCAACAGACAGATGAGTCGGAACTAAGGAGACACTAATGAAGCTTTGTCCTTGCAAATTTGAGACCGCCTCCGTGGTCTAATGGTAGAGCGTCCGCCCGGAGAGCGGAAGGTCCGGGGTTCGATCCCCAGCCGCGTCATACCAAAAGATGTTAAAAGATGGTACTTGTTGTTACCCTGTCTGGCGCTCGGCAGACTGCGGCATTGTGTCTCAGTGTGCTAGCACTATAAATCGGCATTAGTCCGGACTAGTACAAGCAGCCACACACACACATAAACGTGCATGCACGTCGCTATATAAGTGCAATAATCTTGGACGCGACGTTAAACCCCTTTTCACCTCACCTTACCTTGCAAATTTGAAGATACAGCATTGGTTCATTCCGTGAAGTTTGTGTGAATATTTCCTTAGTCAGCTATAAGCTCCTCAAAACGATTTCGCAAACACTTGCTTCACTTCCGGTACGGGCAGTCGTTTATTTTATTACAGGGGTTAGTTTAAGCGAAGTTATCTCGTTTGAGGGAGCGAGTTCAAATTTCACGTCGCATCGGCATTATTTCAGCCATATAGCGACGATATCTCGTTTGAATAGAGCGTGCTTGTTTGTTACGTCTATCACAGGCAGGATGATTATAAAAGCGGTTATCAACTTTTTTATCCCACTAGAATCCATGTGTCGTTATCAACACTCGTTTGATAATACAAGTTGTCCGTCGTTCTCGAGGGGAACATCATTAACTAACAGGGTATATGATCAACTCACGATCATTGCTTTCTGGAACTCCCAAGGGACACAACTCTGCGGAGCGAAAAGCGACAACTGGATCACCCCTTGCACCTGCTGTTATCAGCAGGACGCACAAATGTTGCATTCCTACACAGGTCGCGGTTCACATATGAACAATACTACTCAACTCAACTCAAAGTTATCAACTTGGTGTACACTGACTATGCCCCACTTCCAGTTTCTTTCCGATGCTAAATTTTGTGTTTAACCGGATATGTGCTGATGGACCGACCCACACTGTATTTTCTTTTTCTCTGCCATGTTAGTTTCTTGTTCAATGTGCTCTAATAATTCAAGACGTGAATTAAACGTCAAGAGAATCCCTTCTGATTGTCAAGCCATTGACATTTCTGCTAGCTAAGAGAAAGAAATGAATTGTGAAGTTTTCTGCGGTGGTGGGAATGTTTGTGTGAATATTATATGTCCGTTTCAGTTACTTTTTTTCAGATACCTCAAAAGACACGTTGAAAACTTGTCCAATGTTGAACAAATAAAACTCCCGACCTGAGAGAGTATATGCATACTTATTAGCATGTCTCAAGGCTCAGTAACGTGGACATGTGTACTTCCGGCATGAGTGGTCAGTGCAGTGTAACTTCAATCCAGTGAGGATCTTGTCTGTGTAACTTACCTAATAAGGAAGTGATATGAACGCCAGTTTGGTGACGTCATTTCCTGTTTTGGACGACATCAATAATTTGTGCATGTCTGACTCATAAACTGACCCAGTATTTGTATGACCAGTTGTTATCAAAAAGTTAATCAACTTCACACGGACATTACATGAAACTTGTCACTAGAAAAGTTTAATACAAAAAACTCAACTTTTTTTGTGATTTGGAACGTGCCCTTGATCAAAATCACTACAACTTCTTAATATGCAACAGCTATAAACTCAAGATCTCTCAGTGAATTAACTACTTTAACAAATAACCGGTGACTTTTTGACAAGAACAGCAAAACAAATGAAGCTGTACGATTTCTTAGAATACATGCATGCATCCATTTCATTGGTGGACTTAATTATTGCACTTTATCACATCTAGCACACCACTCAATTTGACCTGCTGCCCAATTTTAAGAATACTTTAGTCATATCAGTGTACACAGCCGGAACAAGTAAACTGGACTAGGATTTCCATATAGAAAACATGAATATAGATATATGCTCACAAGCTTCGAGTAATTACAAATTTTACTTGTCACTCTTAGGAAGAAAAAAGGACATACCAAAGATAGCCATTTCATGGCATCCAGCGTACGACACTGCAGCATCCGATGTACCAAACAGGTTGGCACCTTCATGTATTGTGAATAGTTACCCCCCTTAAACAAAGTTGCTGTGGAGAGTTACATCCATTAGAACTGTATGGTCCTTTGAGGGTTCCAATCCCAATCTCTACGATAAATGACTAGGGTTTGTCAGCACCAATATCTGCACTACTTTTTTCTTTCAACACACATT